GCTCTGGCCAGCCAGGCTCTGGTTTTGGGTGGTGCATGCTGCCTCCATGCTATTTTTGGGTGGTGCACGCTGCCACCATGCTATTTTTTTCTGGTGCAGGTTTTTTATGATACCAGAATCTCCCAGTGTCAAAAAAACCTGCTGTGTTGCAAATTAGCAGGGTAATGGATGCCTGCATGTGCAGCGCATATGGTTTGCGGTGCCAAAGATGGGTCTGCTGCTCTGCAAACTGCACATGCATGCTCATCTGGACATGCCCTTAATGTGGGAATCAGTACTATGAAGGGTTTGTTTTTTTTTAATTTCTGTTTTAAGCCATGACTCACAGAAGGGGTGCATTTATGTTATACAAGTACTTGCCTAGCCCTTTCAGGATTTTCTTCTCCAGTTTTTGCTCCTTACTGGTGCTAGATTCCTTTGCTCCTGAGGCATCCCCAGTAGCTATTTGTTCTTTCTCACTCTCATCATTTCCATCTTCATATTCTCCTTCCTCATTATTGACTGACTCCCCTTTCTCAGACTTGTCTGTTTCCTTAGTAGTTCTCTCCTTCTCCACCAGACTAACAGCAGACCCGTAGGTTTTAATAATGTCCTCCAGCTGTCGGTTCAGCTCTTCTGATATGTCACAAACTATTGTTTCAGGCAGAGCAGTTGGTTCATTCTGAGGGGGGTTGGATGGAAGCTGGGGAGCTGATTTCTCAGTGTTTTGTTTCTCGAGGCCATTCTGAGTAGGTAACGCCATAGTGCTGTTTGCAGGAGAGAGGGATTGCTGTTCAGGTTTGAGTTCAGGTGACTGGTTATTCTCCATATTTGTTATAGAATCTTGGAGCTTAAAAAGGGGGAAAAAAAGAAAAGTTTAACTTAAGCAAATGAATTCATCTATTTAATCATACATGAATATCATATAATATACAAGTGATTTTGTATAGAATTTAGAATTACAGGGGACTGTGCTTATCTGTTGGCATTCACTTGGTAAATACATCGTGTAAAAAACATCAGCATCTGAGGCTATTTATCCCAACTGAAAAAAGCACAGTTTACATACTGAAAAGGGGAAACACAACTGACAGAAAACTAACATAAAAAAAATAAAACTTCACTAATGTTGCCTGTGATACCACTAAAGATCACACCAGAAAAGACCTACATTTCTTGCTTTCCTGCATGTATTGCAGGCCATTTCTGCCTTTTCTGCATTATATTCAGCTGAGACAATGACAGCTAATTGCGGAAGTTTACTTCAGTTTTGGATCAGTTTCACTTTCCATTTCTGACACTGTGGCACAATAACATTTGCTATTTCTTGAGTCAACAGCACTGACTGGGAACATTTAAATCTAAAACATCAGCTGTAAAATTGTCCAAGCCAGAAACAGTGAAACCTTTATCCCTGAGTGGGGGTTCTCAGCCTTATCCCAATATAATAAATACTAAATTAAATTACTTTACAGCATGATTCCCATTTATTGAATTAGTGGTGCTGCAAGGCCACTTAGCACTGGGTAAAGGATTTAGGAAGTCAGGTACAACACAATCTAGTGCTCACAAACAGGGAGGAATTGGTTGAGAATGTGAAAATGGAAGGTAATGTGGGTGACAGTGAAATGATTGTTCAGGATCCTAAGGGAAGGAAGGAAGGAAGAAGAGCAGAAGAATAAGGATATTGGATTGAGAAAAACAGACTAACAAAATCAAGGACCTCATGAGCAAGACCCTCTGGGAGTTAAGTTTGAGGGGAAAAGGAGTCCAGGAGAGCTGACTGTAATTTAAGGAGGCATAGGACCAAGCTATCTCAATGTGATGGAAGACTGGGAAGTGCAAGAGGCAGCAACACTGGCTAGACAGTGATGAGCTGAAACTCAAAAAGAAATCCTCCAAAAAGCGGAAACTTGGTCACAGTAATAGTGAAAAGTATAAGAGTAGCATACAGGAATGCAGGAATAAAATTAGGCACATCAAGGGAAGTGACTCTTTTATTAGCACTGGTGAAGCCTCACCTGGAGTCCTGACCCCACACTTCAAGAAGGATGCGAACAGTTTGGAAAGAGTCGAGTGCAGAGCAATAAACATGATTAGGGGCCTAGGAAGCAAGACTTATGAGGAAAGACTGAAAAAACCAGCGTTATTTAGTTTGGAGAAGAGAAGACTGGGGGGGGGGATTTGATAACCATTCTTCAAATACCTGAAGAGTGATTTCAAAGAGGCTAGAAATGGGCTTTTCCCAGTGAACACAGGGGACAGGACTAGAAAAAAATGGCCTCAATCTGCAGCAGGGGAAATTTAGATTGGAGATTGGGAAGACCTTTCTGACCAGGAGGGTAGTCAAGTATTGGACCAAGTTACCTAGGGAAGCTATGGAACCTCCGTCCTTTATTGCTACTTTGCCCTTTTATCGTGGTGCAAAGCAGTAGCTGGAGACTCAAGACCTGGGTCTTGGTTTGGAAGTCCTTCATTCAGGTTGGTTATTTTTTCTTTTAGGATGTGATGGCCATTAGCCCAGATCAGCTATAGTGAGAGTAGAGCAGGGGCAGGCAAAGTCTGGCTCACGGGCCAGACTGGGCCCATGGAAGAGTCAGTTTCCTAGCAGCCCCTGTCCATGTCACTATGGCTGGTTTCCATGGAGACCCCAGCAGTGGTGGCGCCAGAGTTTCCATGGAGACCAGCCCTAGCAGAGCTGGCAGGCGCAGCTGGGTGGGGAGCTGCCCTGGGGCCAGGATCTTACAGTGGTGACAGTGTGGTCCAGAGGCAGGGAAGATCTGCGATCTGCTGCCCCAATGCCCCAGGCAGGGGTGCACAGGCAGCGGATTGTGGCTCTGCCCCAGCTCCAGACCATGCTATCACCAATGGGTTTCAGCTATTGGGTTGAAACAAGGAAAGGCTACCCTTCTCTTTTCTTATCTGCTAGTCATGGGTTTTTGCCTAGTTGCAATGTGATTGTCATGTGTATGGCATTTCATACCTGCCTGGCTAGAGCACAACCTTCTGTGCATGCTCACTAGATGTGGGAATATGCCCACACTGTATGTGCACTAGAATCACAAACAGTGTATAAGGGCCAAAAGCAGTATTTATGTGGCTGGATAAGTGCCATTTGAGCACATACAATTAATTAGGATTCTGCCTTAGCTGTTTTCATCCTTTCCAGCTTATAAATATTAATTTGTCCTCTCACATTATGTCCTCAACATGTTTATAGCCAGACATAAGACAACATGGTTCCTTTCATTTAGTTCTTTCTTATGTCCCAGCATCATCATCTGTATGTCAGCACTGGTCTTTTAAAATATTTGTTACATTGTTTACTGCCTGGTTTTGCAATCACAAAACACAAAGTGTTAAGCTGATGAATTAAAAAGAGCCTTACTGTTTAGAAACTGGGGCACATTTATTTATTTAAATGTAGGTCTAAATAGGATGATCTTGTGGTGATAATCCATCTCATCCATGAGTGGAAAGAGATAGGTTATAATCAAGTTAATGAAATCACAGCAATTCACACCAGGCTGAAGTCCTGGCCTGTTACCTTGAATTGTAAGGTCAATATGAACCATAACCAGACTTAAAACCCTGGAGTGAAAGCCACCCTCACACAAATTAATTGTAAACTTAGGGGCATCTCTTGTTAGGTCATATTGAATTATTTCCCAAATAGATGTATTGATGTTATATCCACTCTCTCCTTGACTTGTCTAAAGAGACACCGCTGCTACTGTCTATGCAGAATCATAAAAAAAAATATGGCTGGACTTAAGACCATCCCTGTCTGAACCATCCCTCACAAACATTTGTTTACATAGTGCTTAAAAGTTTCCAGTGACAGAGATTCTGGTCTATCTAGATAAAGATCAACCTAGGTCATTTTATACAGCAGCTATCAGAGACTGAAGGGCTGCCTATACACATGCTTGGAGGTGGTGATGGTGGGGGGAGATGTTTTAGTTAGACTGGTTCCCAGACAGCTGCTCTAATTAAAATGGCTCACGTCGTGTGTATTAAGTCCACCTGTGTTTCAAAATGGATGTGGGGGGTCTGTAACTAAAGCTCAGTTGACAAGGTTTAGTTTAAATGCCCCTGTGGCCATTTTGAAATGCAGGGGGGCTTAATTCACATGACAGTGAGGTGACGCTGGAGCACTTTAATTAGAACATGAATGAGCATGTCTATGGGCAACCAAGGTACTTTGAAATATTAACAAACAAAACATTAGCAGTGGGCAACTATGTTTGGGTACAAGCAGCAGCTATTGAATGCTGAGTAATGGCTGACATAACCTTTTGGACATTAGGAAATTTCAGTAATACAGTTCCTGATCTTCCATTTGTTTTACTCCATGTAACCTGGCTGTATATCAGGAATCCTATACTTGTCATAGCACGAAGTATTTATAGAGTTTTTTTCTCGCTACTACTATTGCCTCTTGGCTGTAATGGTTCTCAAGCAGGCTGCATCCTGTCATATGGTAAGGCAGAGAATGAGTGGCCAATGGATCTGTAGGACCCTTGGTTGCTTGGCCCTGCCCTGCCTCAAATGGTCTCTGCATACTGAGGCTCAGAAATCCTGAAACTATGGTATATTCCTGGATATGCTGGGGGAAAAAGTTGGTTTGTAACCCTGGAATTATCTTTAGGAACATTTGCTTCAGCTGCCAACAGGGCCTTACTTCAACTAGGCAGCATATCTAACACTGTAGCCCCAAATACTGCACAGCATGGTCACTGAGTTAGCCCAGGAGGTGCTGGAGGAATTTGAATCTGCAATCTGCTTAGATAAGAGAGACAGTTGTGCTTGTTTGTAATGGATCTTTCCAGCTTGTTTAAAATAAGATTATTGTATGTTAAGTTTGCTTGTAACTTACAATCAGCTATCTTTTAAATGTTTGTGACCGTGTCCCCTAACACATTGTGATTAGATATGTACATTAAAGTATGGAAGAACTTTTAAAGTAGAAGACCTATTGGTCTCAGTGCTGCAGCCCTGATTTAAAAATGTGATAATAGTATGCCTCTATTTTTAGGAAAAATAGCCATGTCATATAGCCCCTTTATCCACTTATTATATTCTGCACTTTGAATTGGCCACTGTGTTAAGGTGATAGGGAATATTGTTTAAATTTGAACAGCCACAAAAATAAATGTTATTCTCTTTGAATAACAGTGGTCCTTTAAATGGCTGCTGATCTTACTGCAAAAAGTATGACCTTCTTTGTCACAGGAATTGCTATCTCTTGCCTCTTGCAGTTTGAAGTTCGAAAGCGTTGTCAAACTTATCTAAATTTAGTTCTTGCCTCCCTGTGTAACCAGCAGAAAGACACATGGCACCTGCTCTGGAGCCAGAAGTTATTTTAAGCACTTCTAAAAAGGGCAATGGCATTTAGCACGTTATCCTTGAAATTCACCAAAAAAGCCTTTATAAAACAGTCTCCACTGTTATTAAAACAGACATCATGTGCTGTTAAAAGTTAAAGCATTATTTTGAAACAAAACTATATTTGAACTATAGCAAAACCTCCAAGTTCTAAATATTAAACTCTGGAACATCCTATGCCAGATCAGTTCTGATTACCCCACAGACAAATGGATGTGTTTTGTGACCTAGTCCCCACCTTTCATATTACTTGGAAAAAAAAGCAATAAAACTGACATTGCTAATTATAGAACAGACATTACTATATTCAGGATTTAAGTATAATATTTTACTACAACGATCAACAAAATAACCAGAGGCTACGAATACATAAATGGAAAGAAAATATATCCAGAAACTTTTCCAGGTCACTTTTCTTCTTTCATGACACATCTGAGTCCCGATGATTTATTTTTGTTGCAACCCAGCTAGTTTTTTCACATAGAAGCAATGCACATCAGATTATGTTTTAATTGTTTGAATTGTTCTTTGAGAAATTCATGTTCCCTTTCAGAACGGCAGCCCGACATATCAGCGATGCCGCTCTCAAACAAAACACCTGTGTACCTAGAAAATTCTTGCCCTGAGAGTCCCAAAATGAGGTGCTATGATTGAAGACATTGTACGATACCACAAAGTAGTGGCAGCATGGAAAGTATTTGGTAGACTTACCTGAAAGAGGAGAGAGTTGACTGGAGAAAATGTCAGGAGGAGGGCACAGACAAGGACAGATAGCAATAGGAGTCTCACACTGTATTCCTGCTATGGAGGGAAGGAGGGATTGAGAGATTAGAGGAGGGGGAAGGACTGGATGACACAGCAGGAGAGCAACACTCCAAAACTCAAAGGCAGGCTTCCCAAGGGACTGGATCTGATAGGCGAGTAGAGAGGCTGCCTGAGAGTTGGCTGCCAAGCCTAGTCAGAACTGCTGTTCCCTTTTCTGACATCATAATGGGAAAAGAAAAACAGAGAACTAGAGGGCCTTTAAACAGAGAGAGGATAAATGAAGGATTTGATCCAAATGCAGCTGCTGTTAGTTAACTTCAGACCTCCAGTACTGGCCTCTCTGCAGCCTGAAGTCTATTTGCACCTTCTGTGCATTGTAGGAATGGCTGTTACTAATGGGTTCTCAGTGGTCAAATATGCCCCATCGTCCAAATCCTGTTTCACTTGCAAGGTGTCTAAGTCTAAGGTGGGTGGGTCCTCCTCCATTTTATGACTCAGATGAAGGCATAAAGCTCAGATGAAGGGATGTTACAAAGCTGATCTGTTAATGGTTTTCTAGGACCATGGTGAAGTAGAACTGCTGAGGTACCATTAAGGTGCCTTTGAAGGTAAATAGAATGTGGGCTTAGGTTTCTTGCCTATACAAGAAAAAATTGGTGGGCTTTTCTGCATGCGGTCTTCTCATTGTGTTGGCTTATTGCAGCCAGTCTTTGGATCAGATTTTCCCGGAACAAGCCCATCTGCTGTCTGATGCTCAGTGTGACAACTACTACCAGCATAGCACCAATGTGAATGGAGATTGCTAGTGTATAAGCCCTTTATATTGAATGGGGTTATATGCCTTTAAAGCTGTAGGCACAGAGCAGAAGCCCTTCCTTCTTCTAGGGTACATAAGAGGCCTAGTCAAAGAGCTAAGTAGATGAACAGGAGACAGCTTGGAGCTCTTCTAGCTGTCTTGATGGCCAGTGGAAAAAGGGGAGACAGATAAAGCAAGCTTTGCAGATGAACCAGGCCCTAGAGATGGCTTAGTGCATAGGCCAAACCATAAAGACAGCTTGTGGGTGGACCAATTACCCACCCACCTTAAGGATGATGGTGGATAATTGAGAGTAGATCTTCAGGGGAGGCAAGAAGATAGTCTTACACACAACTGACCAGAATGAGGCCAACCCCAGGTGGGGCTGGACCTGTGGTTGTGTGAGACCTACTATTAATGCCCTGGAGAGAATCACAACAATGGTTTCTCAACTGAACTCAAATCCCATAACAAACTAAAGCACCAAGATGTAGCAGGTGAGAACATGGGCTGGTTGGGGAAGTGAGCTGTGCTAATCTCAAAAAAAGGGGTGACAGAGCAACCTTAGGGGGCACAGCATGAGAGACATCGCATCCTCATATTAGTGTCCCAGCCACTGCTGAGGCAGCCTTTCTGGCCTACTTTTTACACCCTAATCTGCAGACTCAGGTCAGTCAGAAGCTATCTATCTATCTATCTATCTATCTATCTATCTATCTATCTATCTATCACAGGGAAATTCAACTGCATGCTGTTTCCATGGAGCCCAACATCTTCTGTGACCCAGATGATTATGCCATCAGCATCTCTCTCAAGCAGCTAGCCTAATATGATGGCAGATAGCCTAGGGCTGGTGTGCAGGCCCTGAGGAGAGATGCAGGCCATTTAACATGTTGATATGCTGTACCTCAGTTATAAGTATGTGTACACACAACTGATAAAGACAGGCACCAACCAAGGTGGAAGCAGTCTCATAAGAAAAGCAAAGGGAGTGAAAGTAAAATTTAATATGGCCTATGACAACGATAAGTCTATATCAGGGTCAAGACCACACCCATTTTATAATGAACTGGACAAAAATTCTCAAGATCACCCAGTATAATGTCAATCTAAAGAACTCAAATGTATTATCTAGCTTATCTTGTAGGGAATATAGAGGAAGATGAAAATGGTAGCTGAGCATGCTAGGTAGACTATTATGAGGAGTTGCTAGATCAGGAGATCAAGCTTTCTTAGTGAGAGAGAAAAGCAGAAATAGTAACAACTGAGCTAGAGAAAATGTGCATACTTGCAGTCTGTTATTTTCATTAGTTTTATTTCTCAGCAGGGGAAATCTGGTTTGGAAACAACAGTGTCCAGAGGGAATCCAGACACTGTGGCTTAAAACAAGAATAATTCTTAAAGTCTATTTTTAATATTGTTAAATTTCAGTGTTCCTTGAAACAGGTATGCATTAAAAAAGAATGAAATAAAGGTAGGCACTATGAAGGCCAAGCCAGACTTTACTATTACCAATTCTTATATCCTTTGCTGATTCAAGTTTCTGAAAAAGTGGCTAAGACAAACCCTTCTGGGATAGATTGTTCCCAGTCCTGTGGGAGTCTGTAGTGTTATGGTAATGGGAGCTAGGAATCCCTGGGTGCATCTACACATGCATTAATGTGCTTTTCCTAATTCACATTAAATTTAATACTTCCAATGTAGGGTACTAAATAAATGTGCTTTAGGCTACCCTAATGTGCAGTGCCAAAAACGTACATTTAAAAAGTTATGCTTAATGCACAGTAGCCTATTTTACTGTACATTAGTGTAATTGCATGGTTTTTAATGTGATGCTTTAATGTGCAGTAAAATAGGCTACTGTGATTTAAAGCACATATGTAGACACACCCCCTAAGTGATAATTATGATAGTCATAGCTGTAATAGCCTGTGGGGTTCGACCATTGCTGTCAAACTTAAGTTGAGGAGAGGGTTAAAAACAGAGTAGTCTGAAATCTTGCAGGAAAGGCAGTCCTCATAGAAAGGTAAGATAGGAGAGGTTTACCTTAAGCAGTTTTTTGTAGAAGATAAACTCTCATGTTGTATGTGGCATGATTGAGTGAATGAGTGAATATGATATTAATGGAGTATGATAGATTATCTTGTTTTTTGTCTTCCTCTGCTGTATATCTATTTAGCCTGCAGCATTTTCCTGGTTCTAGTCCCTTTTTACTTTATTTGGGAATAAAGTTCCAGAGTCTCAGAGCTTGCTGACATTAGGAAATTACTTGAATTTGTCAAGATTATAGTCAAGAATCAGGCTGTTTAGGACCAGGATCTAACTGCCCTGATCATAAAAGGCCCAGGCCTCTGGCAGATGGTATACTTAAGCTATATTAGGCAATTAATCAAGTCTTAAGTAGTAACCTGGCCCAACATTAATTCAGTTAATGGGGTGATAAAACAAGAAATAAACCACCAAGTTATTAAACAAAGTATGTGTAATAACTTTATGGCTGGTTCCCATTGCACCTTAATTGAGCATATGGCCAACACTGATCAGCTGACTGATGCTCCCAGTTGATACCAAAGACTCCATGAACTGCCACAGCTGGTTGTGATAGTCAGCTGACCAGTGCTCCCGGTTATGGGAACACTGGCCACCCAGCTTGCTATTTGCTGGTGCAGGGGGAGCCTGGGTCTCCCTGCACTGACAATATGTCATGATTTGGCTCTGATCCTCTATTAAACAATAGTGCCCCGTGCCATGTACATGAGCACCAGGAGCCCCAGATGAGGAAAGCAGAATCTAAACCCATCAGGGCACAAGAGAGGACCAATAAAAACAGGTGAATGATTCTGAAAAACAAAAGAAAAGGGAAGTTTTATGCATGTTAGTGGGATGAATACTATGCACTGGAACAACTGAAACTAGGCTAACTCAGGCTGGGAATATTCAGCAGTACTTTGAAACTATTGTACCATTGACACAGATGTTGAAAACTGTGAGTATTTTGAATCTGCATGATAATAAAACAGTTAAGCCTGATGAGCAGAGACCACACTAGAGAAGATTGCATGCTGAGAACTTGGTTTGTGAAACCTGAATTTCTTCTGACATTTTGAGGGTTTTTATAAATTTTTTTGGAACATCCTTTCCCTGTTTGGGGAAGGCTGAATAAAAGCTTTACTTAACTCCAAAGGAGAGGTTTTGTGACTTTGTCTTAGTAAAGCTAGACCCACAGTTTGCGAGATCCCTGTGACAGGGCAGAATTTCATTTTTAATTAGGTTTTCTGAGCTGGATTATAAATTTAGGACTGTCTAGTCCCTTTATTCCAAAGCAGGACTTTCACTGCTGTCAGTGGGAGGCTTGCATAAAGGCCATAGGCCTGATTCTTTGCTGTATTAAAGTTCTAGCTTAGTGTGTGAAGTCATGGGAGTTCTGCAAATACAAGACTGGAATAACATGCTGGAGGAACAGGACAGACCATTTACCAGATCTAGTAACTAAACTTTCAGCTCTATTTATGCATTCACTATATTATTCACTGCAGTTAGCTTTACTTTGAAGGGAGATCTGTGCATTATTAATATTCCTGCCCTTTCTTTTCTTCCTTTCTTAGCTTGCTTCCTCTGGTTCTATCTCCTTTTCTTTCTTTCCTCTGTGTTATCTTCTACGTTGGGACTCCTAGTTCCTATTTAAGCTTTACCTCCACGTTTCCCAAACTCTAAAATGATCAGCAATGAAATAGTTCATTCTGACTCTATTTAGTACGGGGATGGGCAAGATGTGGCCCGGGGCCCGGATCTGGCCTATCAGGCCATTCTATCCGGCCCGCAGGGTCCCTAAAAAATTTAGAAAATTAATATTTTCTAAATTTTAAAGCCCTCCTCCGGCGGTCTTTAAACTAGACTTGTTGGGGGAAGGGGTATATGAGGGCGGAGGAAACATCAG